TCTTCTCACATTGGGGCTGAACATAGATGATTTCGATGCAACCACTAGTCCTAATTTGATCAGAATTACTCGAAAAACATGTGATCATGCAAATTTATATAAATTAAATAATGAATATAAAATATTAAATAAAAATGAATATTTTAAAGAGGAAAAACAGCAAAACTTCTTAAGAAATTCATCAATTAACTTAGTTAAAACCAGTACGACCACAAACAATGATGTTTTAAACGACATTCAATTTTCTAAACCTGTCATTGAAAGTAACATTGATCTCTCAGCTATTTCAGAGTTTATTTCAATGGATTCAACTTTCTCTCCAGGAACATCTGTTACGGCACATGTTGAAGTCGATCAACTTCTTGCATTGATTGAAGAGCAAAAAGCTAACATTGATAGTATATTAGATTCGCAACATGTATACGCGGTGGGTGTCGATTTTAAAAAAGGTTATTCTAAGCCATGCATCGCTTGCTGGGTCACTGAAAACCTCGACATTGCTATCAAAAAGCAGCTATTAGGCTTGTTCCAAGATAAGTTTGAAATTATAGAAAACATAGTGACATCAACGGATACTGATGTGAGTAATAGCAATAATGATCAAAACAGTTTACTTAACTGCAATAGTTTCACCAAGGAGTTGGATAATAATATAACAGTTGGTTCATTTTCTGGAAATGAGAAGGAATCTGATGTGATGGAATCTGATGAGAAGGAGGATGACAATAGTTATAAAGAAAATGATGAAAAAAATGGTGATGGAACTAGTGAAAAAGGGAACAGTGGTGAGGATTATGAAGATGGTAATGGAGATAGTAGTGGAGATGGTGATGGAGATGGTAGTGGAGGTGGTGGTGATGGAGATGGTAGTGGAGGTGGTGGTGATGGAGGAGATGGGAATGAGAGCATAACCAATAAGCCTAAAAATATTTCAGTTAGATCAAAAAGTCAAGCTGTTAGTAAAGAAAATCCAAAAATTTTTCAAAATTTCGACATAAGAGCTGTTATCTATGCAAATATTACCCCTAAGAAAGATTCAAAGATTTTAGAGTTTTCTGTTAATATAGAGGAATGTGAAATGGGAAGAATGCTTAGTGAAAGAATATCATCGCTTCACAAATTTGGTTTTGGTTATTTTCTTGATTCTATTGTAGTTGATGTCTCACCAATTCCATGCAATAGTACATCTTGCATGATAATAAAGAAGATTGATACACAGCCACAACAATACAATCAGACCATTAAGATTTCAACAATTCATGAGAAAAACAAAGGAATTAAAGGAAAATTCAGTGGAACTGGAATCCAAGTGGGAGGTAGTTATGACACAAAGAATGCACTTATTATCGAAAAAATGGCATGTGTGTGGGAGATGAAACTCGAAGGATGTTGGGCAACTGGAAATCGCTGGTCATACTCTCATGAAGGTAGTAGCTATACAAGTACCTTTATTCCAGGTAATCATACTGGCAAATGGAAGATTTCAAACGCAATGAATGGGTTTACTATAGAAATTACACAGGTAGTAGCTTTTGAATTTACCTTTAAGGGTTTGGTCATGAATAAAACAAAGTTGATAAAGCAATGCCCTAAAATGGCACATATATTAAAAATATCCTTTAATAATATTGATAATTTTGAAAATTATTTTGCAAAACTTGAAGAGGATCAATTTGAACAAAAAGATCTTATTTTTACTTTAAACAATGAAGACAGTAAAAACTTTCATAAAGAAGACACACAAGAACAAGAAGGCGTAAACGACTATATGGTAACACGTAAATTTTTAAAGAAAAGCAATTAGTTCCAATTTTTTATTATCTACAAAAATAAATATGAACTCTGATGATTTTTTTTGCTGCTAATTCGGTGTCATTTTCGTCACATAATCTTTCATTTTTTCTGTGCTATTATTTTTAATCACAAACTTTTTAAACATCTAAAAAGTTACTGCTTTTTTATTTAGATTTAATCAAAATTAAATCCGTGAGATTTATTTTTAAAGAAATGGATCAGACTTGTGGTTGCAATTTAAATTAAGCAAACAAGCAATGTTAAAGAATTCTGTGATTTAAACCTATTATCTTTTTATTTTGCATAATTAACCTATCTGCTATGTCAATGTTGTTGGACTGAAACTGGAACCTCACTGATGTCAAAATTTTTCAGAATTCCAGTGACTCCAGTGACTCCAGTAAAAAGCTCTATTGAAACGATTTTTTCAATGGAACATGTATATTATTAATCAAGAAAAATGCATGAATAGTCAATAATATTTTTTTAATAAATTCTTTCGAAGAAAAAAATTAGTTCTAAATTAAAAATCAAAACATCGATATGTTGTCAGTTCAATTTTGCAATTACCAACCATATTAAAATCTTAATAAAAATAATTTTCTATTTAGCTATGAATAAAAAAGTATATCTAAGCCATCTAATTTCAGTGATTTCCATCGAAACAGTCTAGCAGCAACACTGTCCCAGAATTTATAATAATAGTTGTAGTTATGACACGTGCCCTAATGCCATATTCAATAATTACAGTATAATGATAGCTATAGTCATGACTCTTAATTCACAATTTTCTTTTAATTTTCAAAAAATGGCACCCTTAATTTGTTTATGATAGCTTCAGCTCTAATGTTATATTTTAGTATGACATTATATAAAAAAAAATTAATCATATTGATAGCTAAAATCTATCCGAACATGCATGTTTCCACCTCTAAATGTCAAAAAATTACGTTCAAGTTTTTTCGCAGAAAAATTACGTTCGATATGGCAGTATTCATAGAATTCTACGGATATTGACCTTGAAGTTCTTCATCATGATTTATTTCAATAAGTTTAAGTAGAATATGCGACCTATGATTTCAAATAATTAGAAAAAAGTTAGATAATTATTATGAATTTAAATTAAGAATTAATAATCAAAAAAAATTACCATTTGAACTTGTTATTTATTTGCAAATGTATAGTAATATTTAGAAAAAAATTTGTGATACGCATCAATTATTAAACTACCAGATATTCATCGAAAAATCTTCAGTATCCATAAAAAAAAATAATGACTGCGGCAAGTTTTTTTAAAAATCAAATAAATATTTATCAGTAACTACGTAATAAATTTGATAATTTTTTTTTTTATTTCAACACTACAAACACGTAGAATTAAAATAAATAAAAGAAATTCATCAAATTCGATCATGTCTCATCGAGAAACTCACTTTAAATCTTATTTCAATTCTGTGTGTTTGTATAGTCGTAATAAAAAAAAAAAATTCATCGAATTTTGTTATGTAGTCACTGAAAAATACAGTAAAATTTTTAAAAAAAGTTGCCGCAGCTTCTTATTAACCATTGAATAGCGTTGTAATCCAACCTATTTGGGACGTCCCAAACTATGTGATGAATAATATCACATCTGGTACGTAAAGGCCTTCTGGCCCTTCGGGAGAAACTAGCACCCACTTTACCTAAATAATAACGTATCAAAGTCATATACATATATTATAAACTACATTCGTTTATTTACCACTAGCCAGATCTAACAGCCTCTTTCGTACCTGTATTCTGTTGGTCGGTTATTCGAACCCGATTGCTGCGGAACGATTGACCGACCGATTTTCGTTTTACAATAATTATGCCCCGTATTAGTAGGATCAATACCGCCTAGAAAGATCAATGATTATTTCAGTATATACTACCTGATAACAGATAATGTTAATGAGCTTTAAGAAGGGCTTAAATTTTCGAGTGAGATTTTTACCTTCAATTTGATTTCAAAAATATATATTTTGCAGAGCGAAGTGTGGAACCTACAATTTCATGCTAAATGCTTATAAGTTCATTCTTTGTCAACTGAACATAAATTCGAAATAAAGTAAGATTGAAATTGTTATACATCCAATACGCATTTATTCGAAGTTACCGAAATTAACCTGTGATTCGTATACGTATCTGAAATTTGGTTGCAAAATCTGCGATCCGCAAAAAAATTTTAAATTCTCAACCAAAATCTGAAGTGCGTATGCGGTTTTCTCACATGAATTTGCAAATTTTACTAATAATTTCGATTAAATGTTTATTTGTTACAACTAATTTTTATATATTTTTATAATCCGCAAGTTGTTTTTTTTTTTTTTTTACAGTAATTGGTTGTAGGTCAGCAAATAACTTAAAATTAAATTTTAGACATTGATCGTTTATTTTTGTTCAGACCAGCCAATGATAACATTCGAAGTTAAGTTTCATACGCTCTTCTCGATCGAACTAGTAATACCTATCAAAATCTTTTGCATTGTTGTAACGTTTAGTCAGGTCATGAACCCTTTAGTGATCGAGGAAAATCCTGATGATTGGTAAAGTCTAATTCAACCAGTAAATAAGTATACAATATTGGGCAAAAATTGTCGAATAACAGGTAATTTGGTCAAATTACCGTATTCGACAATTTGCCCAATATTGGTGTTATCCGGCAATTTATGATCATGATTGGTAGGGAGTCG